CAAAAGCATGAAGTTGCCCATGGTCATTAAGAAGAGCCGACAAAATCATTAGAATCACATGGAACAAACACCGTTTCTACACCACCTCACCGAGAGCACGAAAGTTGTTATAATGCATGGTTGCTGCACTCGTGCATTGGTTTCCTATTCCTGGAGTTTACTATTCCTGGAGGTTTCCTATTCCTGGAGTTTACCCCTATTCCTGGAGTTTACGTCCCCGGAGGCAACACACTACAGAATATTGCATACGACGCTATCATACATTATGCAGAGGGAAAGTTTCTGGCATGGCCTGCGGTCACAAAGATGTCCCCCATTGAGCAAATGAAATCACCGATATCAGAAGCAGGTAGAAATAGGCACAAAAATTCTGTTCATCTCAGTTCATTTTATATTGCACTCTTTTGAAATAAATCTGACAGTCAGATAATCGGGAAAACAAGCTTCAGGGCAGAAAAAAAAAGTACTGAAGTTGAGTAAAGTAAATCCACAAACCCGTTCCTACGTGCCAATATGATAGCTGGAATATGAGGAAAAAACAAAACAACAACGCTAATGTTTTTTTTTTCCTCGTAATTCGTAGCAAGTATGGGATACAATGCATCAATGCTGCTTCAATCGTGAGTTGGCACGACCAAGCATAGAAATGTATCTACCGGAAGTTCATTGTTTTAAATATGGCATTCGTTATTCTGACGTGTTACTAGGGGCTCTCTTTCCACAATTACATTCACGTGCAATAAGTTTGGACTTTCATGGCACAACAGGTCGACCTAATCATCCGTCTGAAGAAGTTTTTTTTCAGCGCGCGCACATAGGAAAAAAAGGAAAGAGTGGACAAAAAGAGCGCTGACTTCCAACTAACTACTCTTAATTGTAGCATCCACTCTTGTGGGTTCTTTCTGAAGTTCCAGTTTGGTTCAGCCGATTGCGACAGCGTTTTATAGTCTCACCTCGTACTTTTATGTATGCTGCTGTTGACAGGTATGACGACGGATATCTGAAACTTTCTTTCACGCACACACAAAAGAATCTATATGCCATAATTGCAATAAGTGTAATACAATGTCCGTTCTCAGCTCATTGCCAACTAAGTCACATGCGTTAAGTACACAAAGCTTGCTGTCATGGTTCACGTACCACGAGTCATCCGTGAAAAGGCTGAACAATTTTGATGCTAGGACCATAAAGATTCTTAATGAAATTTCTAGCCTTCTCTGCGTAAAGTATGCGCAAGCGACGTAGAAGTGCTTTACTAAGTATACGATGCAATGTGCTTGGTAATGCAATGCTTTTTTATGGTAGCAAACCATGCAGAAACCGTGTTAACCTCTCCGTTTTCTTTTTTTTTTTGCCATTTCTGTTTAGTTCTGAAGGCTTTCCGTTTCATCATGCCGTTCACAAACATTAGCACTTGATGCAGGCGGATACGCAAATTGATCAAGATAAAATAGACCCTCAGGGATTCCATGAAAAAAAATAAGAAACTTCAATTTAAGGAATAAGCTAAGAATTACTTCTTCATTCCGACTATTCGCAAGGGACAGATTCGCATAAAGTCGGCATGCAGAGCAAAGCACTAGCACTCGCATAAAGTATTGAAGATGCGGCGCAGTATTAAACCACTCAAAAAAAGAATAAAAAAGGGGGTCGCGAAATCGAAGGACTGGAAAACGGTGCCTTGTAAAAGGAATGTGTATATATGCGGGCACTCGTACGAACCACAGTTTCTGGCGAATTCCAACTCGGCCTTTTATGCAAATCTGAAGAAGCGCGCACGCGCACACACGTGCCCATTCAAGCAAATCGAACTGTTACGCGAAAAAAAAAACAAGAACCCCTCGTACACAGAGCTTCCTTCGAGTTTCTTTTTCCCCAGTCACGGTGCGCCGTACACTTTCTGCTCTGAGTGCGCGGGGTTCGCAATATTTACGAGCGTGTAACCTTCCCAAAGCGAGCTCCCCTTTTCAGTTTACCGGTCTTTGAACAAAAAAATGCCTCCAGAATAATTGTTCTCTTCGAGAACCTCGTGCGACGCTCGCTGAATATACGGGAGAGCAATGTAAAGATGTCTTCACTCGATATTCAGGTCTCCACTTCTTCTTACGTCATTTTATTTATTGAGGTGTGAAACAATTAATGCGGGTCCTGAAAGAAGTCGCAGTCTTCGGCACACAGTATCCAGACCGCGCGACTGAGTTCTAGCACTATGATGTGAAGTTAAACAGTGTTTAAACGCGTGTTTGACTTTTATATGCTCATATTTCAATAGTCAGAAAGTAGCCTGTGAGATTTTTAACATTGTTTTTGCTTCTCTTCTAGGCCCCATTCTGATTTCGCGACTTTATCGCAATTTATTTTTTTATGTGACGGAGCCCGCGAGAAGTGATTCATGCCTGAAATCATGGCTTAAAATATTATAAAGAGTGATGAAGAACACCTGCAAGTGAGCACTTTGTCTAATGCTGAAAAGAAACTTGAAAATCTTGGGTAAGGAATCGCAATACTACCTGCTGTATATATCTGCATTAATTTTGAAATAGTCTATGGCTCCATGTGCAAAGCTGTTAAAAAAAATAAAAAAAATACCTTGTGCGCTCAGATATTTTTTCTTCATTGATGTAGAACTATTAAACTCAGCAGGTTCGCCGCAGTGGCCCTATCCACATATATGAGTACTTTCAATAGCAAACCAATGTGTATCACGGTGCACGTCACCCTTAAGCATGAAGCATGTAAAAGCAGCATGAAGCGAATAAATTCACAGAGTGCCTCGTAACTTTTGCATATCAGTAAGTGCCTCCTTATTGTTTTTTTTTTGTCTTAAAGTTTAAAGGTAGCGAGATTTTCTAACGAATGATTAATTGCCACTTCACCTAATGCGCTCTTAGTTTGATTTGATTAGCTTTAGCTACACTGTCGTTCATATAGTACCGTTTTTATTCACTAACTTATTCGGAACATATTAATACAACCAGGTTAACTTTAAGCTGTCCTTATTAGATTACTTGTGAACATATGCACACATTCCTTCCCTTGCCCCTCCACACGCTCTCTTTTTTTTTTTACGAAGTACTATATAAAAATTCTGTGCTCGCAGCTCATACAAAATTTAAGAAAAGGTAGGCTTTCTTCTCTGACCGCGGAGAAATCTCGTTACAGCGCTTCAAGAATTAAATTCCACTTCTTCATCGTCAGACGAAAGAAAATCGATCCTAGGAGCTTGTAATCAAATTCGGTTCACCTTTACATGTCCGATGATGCAACAATGTTGCAATTCGCCTCGTTACATGAGATTACAGTGAGAAGATTGGAGGGTCGTTGAGCTGTCGTCATTCTTAAGCTTAGAGATGAGTAGCTGCATATGGCGAGCTGGCATAGCGCCGACATTCGTTTCAGGCAGGCTTCTACACTTAATGCAACCATCATAGACAGATAAAATACAAGCCAAATGACTATGTACGCATGTTTGATCTCAATTCAATATAATGTCAAGTGCTCATTACCACGAGTTTTGAAGAGCAACTCAAGAAAATGGAACAAAGTAGGCCTAAGTAGAGAGGGTGGGCGATGTTCTTGTGCACCGCCTTCTTAACTTGTGTTTGCTGCGCTGCTCTTCAAAAATGAAAGTAAGAGTGCACTGGCCTAAAACAAAGTTTTATTGTTCCCCAATCCGTGCGGCACTTTTTGTACATATTTTGTTCGTGTATTATATTATGTAACTACACCTATGTAGCGTGGATAAAAATACCTTATACGAAATGATAATAGCACTTTACCATTCGTTCTGCACAAGTGTATATTTCATATTTTGGCCGTGAACTGTGGCGTTGCGATAACGGAAAGATGAGTTTCGCATTCTTTTTTTTTTCTATTATTATGTCTACCACGTTTAGGTGCACTGTACCAGCTCTTCGCCCAATGATCTTCTCACATTGAGTTCTCGCACGCCATTAAAATTTCTTTCTGAGGCTTCAGAGCTCAAGCGACAGAAATCGTTCTACCGACATATCATATACTCACTGTCCTTTATAACGAATTTAAAAGGCACCATTTTGTGCCACTCGTGTAGTTATGTTTAAAAAATAATTAGCTAGTCTATACAAATTGTTTTCATATCTATTCTGTGACCGAGCGAAAAATATTTGTTTTATACAAACAGATTGGACGCCTGATATATTTTTCTCGTTGAGGAAATCGCCAAGCGTTGTAATCGCTCATGATTTTTTTCGGCACTTGCAAGTTCAAACATTATCATTTAGCACAATCAATTATCACGCGGTGTTCAGTTTTGAAGTCATTCGTCATTTATACTCTAATCTAGCTAAATGATGCAACAATCACTGTCCAGCTTTATAAGAGGCCTAATTTACCAAAGTCACGGGATTTAGAACTATCAACGACGGCTTTTTTTTTTCTTTTCTCTTTAATATTAGAGGACGTGCATAGGCATCTGATTGCCTTTAGAGTCTTTAGCTGAACTATATGCCTGTGAAAAATTGTAATTATTCAGAAATGCACGATGCCTACCTGTCAATATCGAATACCTGCATAGGTTCGGTGGGTTTCACGCTGAATAAATATGCTATTTGGCCAGCATGACTGAAATAAATACAAGCAACGCGGCATTTTACATATTGTTATTGCTGACCTTACCCTGACAGTGCGAGACTTTTGGATATTGCAAAAGAAATATTGTGTTCGCTGGATGAATGTTTGTATAGCCATGTCCATGGCTTTATCAGACATGTTGTGAACTCGCTTAATGAACCGTTTTAGTCTTCATGACGATAATTTTAGATGTAACAAAAAACGGTCCAGTGAGTCAATAAATTAAAAGACAATGCATTAATAAAACAAAACATGCTTCGAAAGCCGGTCTTCGAGATCCTTCAGCAGATTTGATTGCCGAAAGCGTAGGCAGAGACCCAGTACTCTAATGGACGGGCACCGAGAGCGGCGTCTCGAGGCGACGCGTTGTGGCGCGTCCATGCACTTACGACGTCTATGATCTGCTGCAGTGTGAGCCCGAAGCTGAGGATGAGCGGCTCCGACTCGTTGAGCACGGGCCGCTCCAGGGTGTTGTAGTTGGCCAGCAGGTCTGCCAGAAGCCGCCGCTCGTGCGCGCCTTGTTCAGAGTCTGCAAACATTGAGAGAGAAAGGGCGAGAACGTCGTTAGACACGAGTCTTGGGGCACCAGTAGAAACAACAGAGGAGGAAGAAGGAAAGAAGCGAAACGCCAAAGGAAAAAAAATCGCACCACATCCATGAAGTGAATCGGACAGCAAGTGGGTGAAGCTCTGGGGAATCATTACTCCCCGTTCATTGCCCACTTAATCATCAAAATACGTGGCAACACATATTTAGAGTATATACAAAGCTCTTCAATAATCACAATGTACGCATGAAGTCGAAATGTGGCCGGCGTTTCCCTTTCATCATGACCGCCCTATGATCGGTGAAATATAAAGGGTTTTGTATGGAATACAACCTGAAGCTTGATAAGACGACGTTCCCCTGCCGCTGGAGCTTCGCGAGCCTGCTATAGTCTAGACGGGATGTGCTTGTGCGCGCTGCGCTGTTGCAACCGCTCTGCGAGCCCGAGACTCCGGAATGCGTTGCCGCGCTGCGAGACTTCGTGTCTTAAGCCTAACGAAGTGCACACCATCACCCTGACAGAGAGAATCGGAAGCGAACAAGTTTTAAAGTTTTTGGGGCCCCGCAGTGACAGAAGCAGCGTGCCACAAACGCACCCGCGACCATTGTTCTCCTTTTCCACCTACGATCGGTGCGCTCGTGGCCGGCGCTCCCAGCGCGTGCAAGCCAGGACAACGGACATCGGAGAGACAAGCCTCAACCCTTAGGAGCGTCGCCCCTTAGAAAAGGGGGTTAACCAGGGAGTATCTTTGCATGTTGTCTGTCTTGTATTGTCGGTATAGGCGTACGACGAGTTCTCCATTCAGGTGGGGAATTCAGGAGAGGGGGGGGGGGGCAAAATTGCACCACCACTTTTCCTTCCGCTCCACCCTGTCCCCACACCATTGGTCAAGTTCAGAAAAAACAAACAAACTCGGCAATGAGTGCAAAACTGAAGATAGATCGATTACGTGTTTTTCACATCTCCGGCTTTTCGAGGGTAAACGTGGGAAATTAATGGCTCTTTCAATGCGCGATCAGGGGTCCTCGGTCACCATAACATAAGAAAAAAAAACGTGCGTTGCCTAACCATCCATATCAAAAACTACATGAAATGCCTGACATAATGAAGGAATAAAGGGGCACAGAAGTGGCACCCACCTATAAATGATTAGAAGACGCGATGGCCCCCCGCCGCTTCAATGTGCGCACGTCTATGCTTGGGAAGGGGACACAGGCAGTGGAGCAATGACAGAGGAGTGCAATCTACGAAGACATGTCAGTCACTGTGACCATATAAAGGTCCGACTGACACAAAATGAGGCTGTTCAATGCTCAGACAAAGATGTGTCGTTCGATCCTACGTCTCCAAATAAAATAACACCATTATGGCGACTCGCGCTGGTGTCACTAATACGCCGGCGCCCTATAACTTCACCCTTCTATGATATGGGCAGTTCTTCGGCTGGCCTAGTGCGGCTGTAGGCTAGAATCTTAGTAGTTTAAGTTATACTCACTGATAAAAAAGAGTCTTAGAAAAAAAGAAAAGTTTTATTGTACATATAATTTGTACATAAACAAACAAAACAAAGACAACAAGTAAAAACAGTATTAGGATTTCACAATTGACCATTTTTCCTCTGTGTATCCGAATGTGCACATACTAAAGAAACAATGAAGTGGTAGGAACAATCTGTTTACATAAAAAGGTTAACGATTGCTTGGCACTCTGCTGTGGGAGAGCATCGGAGTTTTATGCGTTTAGAACAAACATTCGATGATTTAGAGTACCGGTACTTCGTACTCAACTATGGGAGAGCAATGAGCCGTCCCAATCACGTGAACTCCATCATGGAGCACAGAGCACGCAAGGCCAGGGTAGCAAGGGTACGGACGCTGTGTTATAAAAATTGGTTAACGATTTAGAGCACTTTGTACTCTACTATGCACGGCAGAGCTGTAAAGCCGTCCCTTTTTGTGTGTTTAGAAAAAATGGTTAACAATTTAGAGTACTTTTGACCTGACTGGAGACTCATCTAAACTGCGCTACAGTGCATGGAGCGAGCAAATGTTAGCTGTAAAGTTAGTGGTTTCGATGTTGTGTAATGCTGAGCCTTAAAATAATGCAACATTATCCTTAGAGATACAACTTTTGAAGCAGGTTCAAAATAGGATCCCAGGACCATGCTAAACTGGATGGTCGCCTTTTTACCAAATACACGGAAATTCACTAGAAGATGCAGGCTTTTAATGAATAATAGTTGTTGAGCTAGGGATGCGGCTCATGTTGACGTTTGAGCAATGATGTTTTTTTTTCTCTTCGTGAGGTAACGGTCGCGAAAACGTTAATTTGCCAAAATGTTCAAGTGCCCGGCCTTCGTTATTTATGCTATGACGGTGTAGACGGCACCAGTACTTACACAGCCTCATTGTCACTGTTCTTGGTTTATCCACACTTTCATATACATGTTGGAGACCTTGGGAATCGGGGCTTCAAGAAGCTCAAAGGGGCCCTCTAACACTGTCCACGACTTCACAGTTTTACATGTTTTTCTAGCTAGCTGCGAAACTTTGAAGGCTTACGAGATAAGTGCCGCATGAACGGCAGTGATAGGGGCACGCAGCGCAAAGTTATTCAGCGTAGAGATATCAAAATACAATGAAATGAATGCTTACTCTCAACTCGATTTTCCCGGGCTCACCTGCCCATGTTTCCCTCACGCTGTGACGTCGCAAGGCTGCCCAATGAAATGAATTGAAAGCCCTACCGTGCAGGAAGCTCGCATGACACATTGCCTATTATGTCCAGGACACCGTTGCGATGGTAACAAATACTGTGGTACTTGAAGAGGGAACAACACGTGTGAAAGGAGCCAGCTCGTGAACGCTTCTATATTATTTTGTATACAGATCAGCAAAGCTATATTTTACTGATAATTCTTTTTATCAACGCTCTTACACTTTTAAACGCGAAGAATTTTTTAGCGAACTTCGGCAACATTGAGCGTATCTATCTATCTATCTATCTATCTATCTATCTATCTATCTATCTATCTATCTATCTATCTATCTATCTATCTATCTATCTATCTATCTATCTATCTATCTATCTATCTATCTATCTATCTATCTATCTATCTATCTATCTATCTATCTATCTATCTATCTATCTATCTATCTATCTATCTATCTATCTATCTATCTATCTATCTATCTATCTAGCAGCCTACGACGTTTAGCTCTCCTGGCCGTTTCGACAATGGTATCAATACCAAAGTTGGTATGGCATAACATGATGGTATAAAGGAAATATTTGACTAGTCATAGCATGACAATCATGACATGTATGTCATGAATGGCATGATTTACATTTTGCGGTCCTGCAGCTCATGCGGTGGTTTCGTTCACATGTCATGTTGCAAAACTGGTATGGTATGACATGTTTGCATGGTGAACACAAGTGACAGACCCTAACATGAAAATCATGACATACATGTCATGCAACAACATGACTACATGTCACGCTCATGATGCGCTCGCGGCCGTTTCACTAGTTTCACATGTACCAAACACGGTATTACGCAACACGAACAGACGACATATGTAAATGACACATCCAAACATGACAATCCCGGCATGCATGTCATGTAATAACATGACTACATGCCACACTCATGATGCGCTCACGGCCGTTTCGCTAGCTCTACATATGCCAAATTCGGTATTTACGTGACGCCAATGGATGACGAAGGTATGCCACTGGTGCGAACATGATACTCATGAGATGCGTGTCATGTGAGAAAATGACTACATGCCACTGTCAAGGCGCGAATACATTTCGACGTGGCGCGGTGCGCGTGCTCGCCGGCGTTCATTTCGTTGCTGGTCCTGCCATATATTCGCAGGCGCGCACCGCGCTGCGTTGCTTTGACGAATGCGCGTATCAGCGCGTCCGGCGTCCCTCCGTCAAGAAAAAGGAGAGACGAATCGTTGTCTGGGTAACGCATCAGCGCGTAATGCAGCATGTCGCATTCCGCGCTGGTTGCCATCGGTCCGCGCCGACAGACGCTGGTCGCGCCTAACGTCAGACTATAGAGTGCTCCCGTTTTTCTAAAGTAGCGTCGCTGTGCCCAGCGTGCGCATGCGTCAACGCTGCATTGTAGTGTATTGGGCCCTTCATATTGTGCTCGCAGCCGTTTCGCTAGCTCCACAGTTTTGTCACACGTGACGTGAATAGATGACGAAGGTAACCGACACATCCAAACATGATAATCATGACACGGAAGTCATGTACGGCATCATTTACCTCCACCTCGTAACGTTGGGCTAATTTTAAAGTGAAATATCAACCTTTCTCATTCGTGATTCGCATATCATTGATTCTCACTGTACGTGGGATCTGCCATTTGTTTCTTTTAGTTTCTTCAAACAATGGCGCCCTGAGCGTCCCTGGTGCGTTTCCTCCAGCATCGTGGCGTTCGGCGCAATCTTCGACCAGCTTTGCAGTTTTGAAGCTGAAAAAGTCGGATAGCTTTATTCCCTTTTGCTTTGAGTGAAAAATCATGCCAAAGAAGAAAAGAGATCCAATATTAATCCCTATTTTGATGCAATGGCGCGATTAAATTTAACGTTACAATTATCCAATGATATGGCGGCAACCTTCCGGCGTCATTTCCGCTCGCAATAGTTCAGGCAAGCGTCCCTACGAGTTATGCAGTCAGCACCGATGTTTTCAAGTGTTAGAGGGCCCCTTTGAGGAGTTTGGGGACCGAATAAATTTGCGAGCGGCCAGGGTGCATGCCTTAGAATCACAATGACTCTTGTACTCCCGCTGTTCCAAGACCAAAAAAAAAAATGAAAACTAGCGTGAACTACGTAGGCGTCTTAGGTCGCCAGCAAAAAAACGCAGACGCGGTGTGGACTATAGGACGCCGCGCGTCGCATAACTTCAATTTCGCCGTTTGTGGCGCATTGCGCGTTTGATCGAACGCCACCTGCGTTTGA